AAATGTGGTGGCACCATGAGGACCCCCCCTTGACTTGGGTGGTGCTTTCAGAGTTACCATGACTTGTTAGCTTTCAGAAGAGTGTATGAACTCATCACTGCTGAGGTAAAAATCCTCATTTAAGTGGATGATATCTGTACCTAATTTGAAAATACAGCTATAACTTCTAAACCTCTGAGTATTTTCAGAAACACTATGAATGACATTTGTGTCCCTCATTGTCTTTAACATTCAACAAAGGCAGCCCGTATGGCTACTCATATTTTGCAAAAAGGGAAATAAATTATGAGACTTAAATCAGAACCTTTTTTCAGCTTTTGCTGTTTGCATTTTTAAGAAATAATTATTTTTTTTAAATTTCCTAGAAGTTCCATGCTTGTAGTGCTCTCTATCATAAACTTGAAGCAATATAACAGCATTGACCTTTAATAAAAACTAGGCATTTTAGCACTTAAGTTTTAACATGCTCATGTTTTGTCTTGTATTAGCTCATTATTATTTTCTCATTTTATCTTATGCTGCACTTACTGTTCAGTGTCTTTGGTGAGAAATACACTTTTTGTTACTGTTTCTGGTAGGGTGAGTAAAGCTGAAGGAAGTAGAAACATCCTGTTGTTGTCTGAGCGGCTAAATTCCTGATCAATAGTGCAATAAAGGCTTCCGCAGGAACATAAAATGCGCTTCCTAGAAAAGCTGTTCCCCTGCTAAACTCAGTGGAGAAAGCATTATGACAATGCCCATTTATCAAGAGCAGTCAAGGTATAGAAACTCAACGGGGTCTTGTGGCTTAGGCGTTAGGGATACCAGCCCTAGAAGGACTAAGCCATTGTGTATTGCTATGTATTGAGCCTCCTTCCAGGTGGCAAACAGCTGCACCTTTTTATAAATCTTCAAAAATAAATTTGAAGTGCTTGCTTTCAGCCAATAAGTGTTATATTTAATTGAACCATTCTGCGAATGTTATAGCTCAGGCATCCAGAAAGGTGGTGAATATTTATTATATTTGTTTTGTATTTCCACCGGTCAGCAGAATAATGAAATTCCTTAACTACTTCTCTTTAACTTGCCTGAAGAAAGCACGGTATGTTGCTAAATCGCTTTTCACTAGCCCTGCCGAGAAACAACTTTAATCCTTGTTAGAAAATTGCAGAGTCTGGGCCTGACAAAGAGCTCATGCCTGGCGCATTGTGAGCGCTGGGAGCGGGGCGAGGGGAGCCCTTTACAGCTGCGTGCCTCCAGCCCGTCTGAGCTGGACTATTTAGGCGAGGAGGTTTGTCAATTCCTCCTGACAATGGAACGAGTTTTTCAGTGCCTGTAGCTGCGCCGAGCCCCGTTGGGGATCAATGCTGGCCATTCAAGCTGCACCCTCTTTCATTGCTTTGGTTTGTTAATTTAAGACTAAAGGTCTGCTGAGGGGGTTTAGGGTGTTTAAGAAAGCTGATGAACTGTTTAAGAAATCTGATGAACTGAGAGCGTTTATAGCCCTGGTGTGGCAACTATTGGCACTGAGGGAGCTGTGTCCTTGTTGACCCTCTTGTTATTAAAAATGCACAAGTGCTGCGCTTCTCAATATTTCAACACTCTTTCATTGTCAATACCACCTTCTGAGCCCTTCAGCTTGTTGCTTGCTCTAAAGATCTTCTTAGATTGGGTTTGAAAACTTCACCTTAAACACTAGATTAGACTGATGTTCTGTTTTCCGTGCTCCTGTTGATTTGTTGAACCTTCCCAGGGCTGGAAAGCAAGTAGCAGCTTGATGGGGAGACGGGCTGCTAATATGATTTACCAGTGTACAGTCATGCACAATAAGTGTGAATAAATACAGGGGTCTCACAGAGTCAACCCTAGCCTTTCCTTTTCTCTTATTTTTTACTTTGAAAGAGGTATCTCAGGAAAATGAAGTGAGTAATGCATGCCCTTACAGGAGCTGGATGGGCTGTGAATAAGGAGAGACGAGGAAATAGCGAGGCAAACATTTTTGTTAAAGTGGTTTGCTGCTGTTATCTGCTGATTTGGAAAAAATGTATAATAAGCACTTACTGCTTTATTCTTGCATAGACAACAGCAAAGAATGTAGCAGTAGTACCAAATAATGAACATCTGCAAGAGATGCATTGTGCTTTCACTGCTATTGTTACTAATGGGAAAGTTACTTTTTCTTAAAACTGCTTAAGAGCAGTTGTTGTTGTTGTTGTTGTTGCTGTTGTTTTAACTGGGTGATCTCAGGACTATTATCCAGTCAATGAAGTTTTGGGGTTTGCAATAGGTTCCCATCAGTTACAAGAGATCCATTTCTGCCTCTCTAACATGCTCATGGTTGTAAAAATGTGTGGCCTTGGATTCTCTGAGAGGAATTTGCAGTGCTGTGCTTTTTAACAGATTCAAAAGAAGGTATAGGGAAATCTTTATTTTCTTGTTATTGAGTCCAGCAGATTTAACTTTATGCGGCTTCAACCTACACTAAGTCCTCAAAACTAGTGGATATAAGACCATTCATTAACAAGAATCCTACCCACAAGTACCTCTGGGAGAATTCTACAAATATACTGGATGTGATTGTTATTTAAAATACTGTTTAAAAAAATAAAAATACTTTTGTTCTAATAAAATAGCAGTCATATTTTTTTCTGAACAAGTTATGTTGACAGAAGAGCAAGTACTGTAGTATCATTTCACAATGACCAAATTTAACATTTGTACTGAAAGTTTAATGCATTGAAGCTAGTCAGGAAAACATATTGCATTGCTTTCATTCATGAAGTTGAGTAGAGAATTAATTTCCTCCAATGTCTTAGCTTTGTTTTCAGTGCATGTAAAAATATCACGGGTATGTAGAGTCGAAGTTTTATTGCATCCATCTTAAACAAGTTTCCTGGTTGGGCATTAAAACATTTTGCCAGAAAACTGGAACAGTCTATTGTCAATAATCTGTCACTGTTCAGTATTGTTGCATGGGAAAATCAGTCTCAAAATTTTCAATCCTGTCTGTACATTGTGTGTCTGAGCAAGTTTGAGCCCATTCTGCATTCTACTTGATACAAACAAAATACATAACAGGTACATTACTGGAGAATATCAGTTTTTTAAAAGCTCCTCTACTAAACTAATTATCTTTACCAGGATTGTGTTTACAATTAAAAACAGTAGCGTCTGAGTAATAATATAATTTCTTGGCTTATCTTATTGCATTTGGGTAGGATGTTTGATGTAGGAATTTTTATGTTTATTTAGATCAATAGAGTTCCCCAATTAATAAGCACAATTGTATTTCATTTTCTAGACATCTGTATACATACAACACCTGTCATATAGTTTACCACTTAGTAACAAATCTGTCACATTAAAAATATTTTGCAGGTACTTACAAAGGAAATCAATACCAGCATGCATGTTAGCGATGAAATAATGTAAATAGAGTAAGAATGTCATTCAGTGATCTAAAAGCAGTATTTTATGGATATCTAATCAGTCCCACAATTTAGTGACTAAATCAAACTACTTTTATGAAATATGTAGCTCTCTGCCTTTTTTGTAGTACGTTTTTCCCTTTTGTGAAATAGTAAATTAATAGAAGAAACTCTAAAAAGTAAATGTAATTTATTTTCAGTGATTTATAATTAAAATATAATTTAACACATACAAAAAGACCCAAAAGAATTATTATATGAATATCTAATTTCAAACTTTTCTTAAAACTGATAGTTCTAATGTGATGAGATTGTCCCTGTAAGGAAAAGGTATTTGTAGTTACTTACTTATGTCTTTCAAGCTTTTTACAGAGAGCTTACGTTTTGATGGAAGAATTCTATTTCTTTATTTTGTTACATCCAGTAGCAAGTAATTTGTCTTCATATTTTCAGTATATATTTTATTTTATTTGTTTGTGCGGAGGTGGATAATGAGACATGTTAGATACATCCTTTGAATTACTCTCACAAAATATACCTTGTCTAACATACTGCATTTTTAAATATGCATGATTTCCTCTCTTTGCATATATCTGTATTTTGCAAAGACACAGGAAATAATATTAGAAAATAATTTAAGCCTCTTTTCTGTGGGAAAAGAGACTAGAAACACAGCTATGACACAAACTCTTAATCTCTCACTGTTAAAATTTAAAAAAAAAATCCCTTCTTTTTTACAGTTTGATTAAATGACATCTGGTTGTGATTTTACAGGAGGGGAAAAAATGCTACAACTATATTTAGTAAAATCTCTTCTAATCCAGTTAATGTGAAAGAACTATTAGAGTAGCTATTTGGAACTGAGCATTTTTTTACAGTAACATAGACACCAACAGCAGAGGGCTTATTCTTAACCCATCCATTTGTGATGTGTTGAGTGAAAACATACCCATGCCTAAGACACAAAAAGGAAATAAGGCAGGCTGTAATTATAATTAGTAATTAATGTAAACCAAAACCTTAATATGGTTATTTTGAGAAGGGTGGAGTGGTGTCTTGATCATATTTAAAAACAGTTTCCAGGGATTTTTTCTATTTTTTACTTAATGATTAAGTGATTTTTTTTTTTTTTTAAGAGAAGAAAGAAAATAAAAAGACAAGTTTCTTATTCTCTGGTACTGTTTTCCTGTCTGGATTGAAAAATCTGTTTATTGTAAATTCTCTCTCAAGACACCCTACCTTTTTCTATCCTGGCTGTTTTAGCTGTCAATTCTCTCCTGTAATTGTATCTTTAATATCCATTCTCACTGACAGATAGCAAAGTGCATAACACTATTTTGCTTGAATATGTTGTAACTGAAAGATAAAATGGCAGGTGCTAATTCATGTAAAGAATGGTTTAGGTCAAGTTATTTGATTTCCTACTGACCCATGCAATTCTCATAACAGGAAATTATATCATTGTTGACTTCAAGTGCTGATCTGTGATCATTTCGAAGTGTTTCATTACCTCTCATTACCAAATCTGTTAAATGAATACTGCAGGGTTATTTGGTGGTGTTTGTTGTTGGTTTTTTTTATCCTTTTTTTCAGCAATGGTATAGCAACTCCATGAAAGTCATATGCATGTGGTTGGCTGACAGATTAGATGTTCAGCTTCACATCTACCAGCTGAAGACTCTCATCAAGATAGTGAAGGTAAATAAAATATGTTTGCATTAGACTGCATAGTACAGAAAGAAAAGTAATAAAGTAATAACATGGATGATCAACCGAAAACTTAGAAAATGTGTGAGTTTAGGTTGGTATTTTTTCCCCACAGTTGTAGCAAATTCCAGGAGTAAAATAACTCATTGAACCACTTAATGTTAATTATATGTGCACTTGTATTTGTTATAAATTCTAGGCTTGGGAAAAATTAAGATAGTTGCAAGGAATTTTGCAGCTAGCTGTACAGCATTACTGTATGATTATTCTTACTAGATTATTATTTGTCTTCTTACTGATTTTTTGTTTTACCTGAATAATTTCAATAGTGTTCCTTCTCCATTTTTCCCCTTCTCCTAAAAATAGGAACTATTTTCTTTTCTGTGCACATGTAATTACTGGGCTTAATTGAAAACAGTATTCAATGTATTAAATAACATTTTCTAATCTTTCAAACTCAGGGATAAGTATCAATAGAAATACCAATCCCTTCTCTTCAGTCCTCAGTCATTTACATTGGCCAATGTCAAATGCTTCCAAGCAGAGTGTAACATGTCTTGCAATAGGCAATTATGGGTTAACCTACATAAAAGAAAGTTTGCTCCTAAGTCCCTTTTCAGATCTTAGTTGATACCCTTAGGCAAGAGAGAGAAAACCATTTCAGGTTTTTTTTCCTTTTAATTCTGTCTTGTTTAACTGTGGACATTCTTATCTGTACAAATGTGAAATAACAAACACCTGGTTTTTCTTTTAAAAAATTTCTCATTAAGTTCATGCAAGACTATAAAGTCAGAAGCATCTTAATTCGTGGTCACTGGAATTGCAACTGCAGCTTTCAGGATTCACTAGCAAAAAGGAACGGAACAGAGAGAAACACAAGAACACAGTTGTAATAATGATGGCTCCCTGAAGTACCCAAGCTTAGCTTTGCTGGTTTTGACCTTAACTCATTTCTCTGCCTGCAGGATTTGGCCCTTCACTTGATTGTGTGCCCAAATGGCAAAAGCAGTTTGCTGATCCTTGTTAAAATGAATGGCTCTTGTGAAGAGTTTAAAGCTAGTCTCAAATGAATCACAAAATCATAAAATGGTTTGGGTTGGAAGGGTCCTTAAATATTATCTAGTTCCAACCCCTCTGCCATGGGCAGGGACACCTCTCACTAGACCAGGCTGCTCAAAGCTCCACCCAGCCTGGCCTTGAAGGCTTCCAGGGATGGGGCATCCACAGCTTATCTAGGCAACCTGTTCCAGTGCCTCACCAGCCTCACAGTAAAGACTTTTACAAATATCTAATCTAAACCTACTCTCAGTTTGAATCCATTCCCTCTTTTCTATCATTCCATGCCCTTGTAAAAAGTCCTTTTCCAAGGTAGCTATCGTCCTCTGAGGAAGAAAATAGGTGTTAGAGGATCTGAAACCTGTGCCCCATGAGATCTAAGAATGGGCAGGCTAAATTGTACAAGAGAAATATCACTACGGAGATTAAAGGAAAGTCTTACAAAACTGAATTTCAGGTGAATGAGCAGCACTGCCAACCTGCCTTCTTCTGCCTCCTGGCACACTGGTTAGCCTTGTTCAAAAGGGGGAGGCTCCTGCTGGAGGTGGGAACAGTGCTTCTGGCAGTGGCCTTTCTGTACCTACACATATATATATACCTGGTTTGCTCTGCATGTGAATTCCAGCTGTGTTATTGCGTGGCACCTTCTGTGGATATTAAAGACTGAAGAAGATGATGTCAATCATATTGGTTCTGGAAAACAGAAAGTTTTGGTGGGTGAAGATAGACCTGGTAAAACAGGAACTCGGCAGACAAGAGTCTGTTGGGAAATACAAAACAATGGTTCAAGAAGAGTATCCTAAGAAACTTTTCCTGCTGCAGCCCAGCTGCAGAGAGACATGGGGAAGCACACTTTTCCTCCAAAATAGAGTGAATGAAGGCATTTTTATGTTTGTTTTAGGAAAAAAAATAAAGAAACAAAACAAAGAAAAAAAACCATAGGAAGCTATATTGCTCCTGTCACCTCTTAAAAATATTTTTTTTTAAATAAAGAAAAGAAAAAAACAACAATAAAACCTCAAATAAATAGGAGGTCATTTTTGAAGGACACAGGATGAGTAAGAGAAATATAATTATTTCGGATTTAGATGCAACCAGAGTAGTGGCCTTATAAAGAAAGACTAGAAGAAGAAACATTGTTCCCTTTATTCTCTTTAAAGCTTATGATGGCATAAGGGTTTCATTAGATGTCTGAGACACGTGCAGAGGGATGTGACTAAAGAAAGGTCAAGGACCAAGAAAGTTAGGGAGAAATGAAAAATTAAGCTTGGAAGTGAACATTATTATCCCGCAAAACTATGTCAAGAGAAGAGCAGTGTCTGAACCCCAGAGTGCTGGTCTGAGAATGGGAAGAATACAATGTAAAAGTGAAGGAAATTGCTGTAGGACCTGTTAACAGCATCAAAGCAAATTGAATGCACAGTGTTATAAAAAGGGAATGCAATGGTGACACTTGAAAAAGACCAGGCGGGGTACTCACAGGAGTGTGTGAGCAAAACATGAGCTGCATCCATTGACTCTGACGTTGACCTGTGAAAGTCAAATAAATCTCAGTCGCAGTGACTCAAACAAGGTTTAAATAATCATCACTGTAGCAGAAAAAAAAAAAATCTTCCATCTGAATATTACCCATTTTAAGAGTGGTCTTTTGCAGTTCTCTGAAGTTTTGAGTGAAATATTTTCTTTCTCTAAGGGTTGTACATGGCCTCCTCCTCAGGCAAAGAAATGGGCCTGATAGCCCTTAATTATCTTCCATTTTCTTTTCCCCATATTCTCTCCCAAAACACTGAGAATTTGTTGTGACAGCATACACAAAACAAGGAACTGCCTAGATTAACTTGTCCTTTTTAAGCCTTTAAGGGTAACATCAGGAAAGATTATTTCAAATGTGTTACAATTTTAAAATAGAGTACATAGGTGATTTTTCCACGTACTTACTTGAACATAGCATTGATGAATAATACAATTCCACTCAAAATTTTTACATGATGGAAAAACAAAGAAAGAAAAGATGAATACCAGGAAAACAAAATTTTCTGAAATGAAAAAAAAGTATAGATGTGAATCAAGATGTAGAGAACTTAGAATGTAAATTAACTAGGTAGTCACCTCCAAAATTCTGACACTGTAAAGTATAGATCATAATCTGTATTCATTATTAGAGTATATATTGTATTATAATGTAATATATAATCATTATTTGTCCACATTTGGCATATAAATGTATAGAGAAATATAAATAAAATTACACTATGGGGAAAAGGTCAGGCATTTTCTATGAAGTGACAGAACTGAACTACCTGTATCCAGATTCACATTTCAATAGGTATTTAGAAAAATTGTCAGCTGGTGTTGTATTGAATAAGTGAAAGAAATGGAAGTTACTGAGAAATCAGCAGTTAGAGTATGCTGCAGCACAAAATACAATCTCTTAAAGAAATTACATTCAAATTAAAACCTCTAGAGTTTGTAGAAATCTCACGCAGCCCAAAAACTAAGACTGCAAAAGCGTTATCAAGGTGATTGGTCCTTAACCTGCAGGAGGAATAAACGTGTGCCACTGGCATGCTAGAAATGGCCAGTGTATCTGTGAAAGAGTACTCATTGCTGGAGTCCAATTCAGGATGTTTTACTTTTGCCACAGAAAACCTACCGAGACTTCAGGTTGCAAGGCGTGCTGGAGGGGACGCTGAACAGTAAAACCTACGACACCGTGCACAGCCGCCTGACTGTCGAGGAGGCCACAGTCTCAGTCACGGATGCAGGAGGACTTCAGGGCATTACAATGAAAGACAGTGATGAGGAGGAGGGATGATTTTATTTCACAAAGCATTCAGAGCTGGGGGGTGATGGTCTGAGGGTGGGGTTTATCTTTGCCTTGGGGTTTTTTGGCAACTTGTCCTTGTAATTGCTTTTATAGTTTTGCCTTATGACATCGGTGCAGAAATGTAACTTGCTCCATTAAAAAAAGAAAGTAAGATTATCAGAGGAAAAGTGCCAAGGACTTTTTGAGAATAATGGTTGTAGCATATTTTTATGTATAGCTTTGCTTAGGGCTGCAACAACAATGGCATGGAGTTTGAGTTCCACTTGTGATTACATTTCTTTCCCTTATGTTTGCTACCATTTATTCTTGTATCTCCATCTGATATTGATGTCCTGTGCAGAAAAAGATGTGTGTCTTACTTAAAACATAACTATACAGGAAATCATCCTTGGAATGAGTCAATGCCCTCAGTAAAAAAAATAGTGTATTTTCAGGATTATAATTTGTTCACCTTTTTTGTGTTTAATTTTACATTATTATGTGATGTGCATTAAAAATTTTAATCTTGCTTCTTTGTATATTGAGGTTGGTATATAAGCAGAAGATCTTCAAGGACAGTCAAACACATACAAACTGCTTAGGAGTGTCGTGTCTATTCATTTTGCAAGTTTAAAAATATCTCATCCTGTTGGATGTCAGTAAGCTTGCCATCTATGTTTGTATTTCTGTGAAAATTTTCAGGCAATAAGAACACATTTTGTTGTGGCCATTTATGTATCTACCCAAGTTTGTATAGAATTCTACAATTAAAAGATGTTTTCAGTATTTCAAACAATTTGAACCATTGTATGATTCCTCATGAGAATTAGGTTTTTTAATTACTTCATTTACATAGTGATTTATAGCAAATATGTTTCTTTTTATAGAGCAGATATATATTGCAAACAAGTACCCAAGGACACAATGTCTTGATAAAGGAACAAAGCAAACAAAAACCTCTCGGTAGCAGATGAACAGATAGGGCCCACTGCCTGCTTTTTGATGCCCTCAGGATGAGCAAGAAAGAACTCAAATTTTCATCAGTCAAAACTCACACAGCTTACAAAAAACACAGCAGCCTTTTTTTGTTGTTGTTTATTTTGTGGGAGCATGACTAAATCCTGAGTTTATGTACACAAAATCAGAAAGAACACAGATGACACCCAGAGAAGTAATAATAGGTTGTCAAGGTCCTTGTTCAGCCATAGCATTATACCTAAGGCACTTTACTGAGGAACTGTTGTGGGTTTACAAGGTTGAGGTGAGGTTTCTGTGCAAGAGCAGTCTGTAGGATTCCAGGGGTCTATTGTAAGCATGCAGGGCTGCAGGAACTGAGAATGAGAGCTGCAGGGAAAACTGGCTTTCGGCGCACCTGGAAGATCAGCCAAGCAGGGAAGGGCAAGTTACACTTCCACTAGGCGTCTTCTAGGAGAGTAGTTGCAGGTCCTGAGTGGCAAACCAGCCTAATCATCCCATGAGGTGAGGTGAATTCAGCTCCAAGGAAGAACTGGGAGCTGGTAAGGTAGACCATTCTGCTCAGTTTTTCATCACCATCTCTGCTGGGCTGAAGGAGGCATAAGAGGCCCAAGCATTGTTTTTCCCTATTACCAGGCTGCTGGATGGCTGATTCAGGTTTTGATAGCAGTAAAATAATTGCATATTCCTTTCCTGTCATTTGTCCTAATTGTGCTGGTGTGTGGAAGCTGATGATGCTTGAAGGGCCATTTGGGGCTCTGCCTGGGATCCAGACTTGGTAAAGGATAATCTGCCTGGGCAGGAGCTGCAGCCTCAGCCCCAGACTGGCTGTGGCAGGCAGCAGGGTGCAGAGGAAGCCAGGCTGTCCAGTGTAAAACCCACCTCCTAAACCCAATGAAGCACAGAGATCAGTGTCAGTCAGGCACAGAGGGAGTTTTGTCTGTGAAAAAGTCTCCCTGCTTCCCCTCTCCCCATCCTGACATTCCTCAGACCCTGCAGAGGTGCCTGTAGAGAAGCTAGGTGTAGAGAAGTAAAGGCAGATATCACTTCAGTGGCCCTGCAATGCTTGCCAAGGCCTCCTAGTGCAGAGTGTGCCAGGTCTGTGCAGGGTTTTCACCAGATTTTTTAAGTTCCAAGGTAACGCAAGAGTAGGAAGCAATATCCAAATTGAACACTATCCTTAGCAAGCCACTAACAGTATAGAGCTGGAGTGGGACCTAGAAACACCAGGACAGAAGTGCCTGTCACCAGCACAACCCAGGAGGTAAGAGATGGGTCTGTTTCCTTCAACAGAGTGACCTGGCATTAGCCTCTCTGCCCAGCCCTGCTATCCAAAAGCCCTGGGGAAACAGTGATTTGCACTTACCTCCCCTTGGGGCTTTTTGTCTGTCCCAAGCTGCCCCCGTGGCAAGAAGAATTTCCTGATAAGGCAAACAACTCTCCCTATCAATTTGAGTGATTACAGAGCAGGTTATATTAATTTCACCTGTCAGGTCCTCAAGAGCCTGTAGGCTATCATGGGCCTCACCTGGGACCCCCAGCCACAGCCTCTGTCCAGGCTGCTAGCTTCTGCCCCAGTGGTGGAAGAGGAGGGCTGAATTCTCACCTCAGCTACAGCCCCACGTGTGCTTGTTTATGGGCCCTGATTGTCTAGAACCTGATCCAGAGATTGACTACAGAGCTTTGTGAGCATCACAAACATGTTAATGATCTGGTCTCTGAGTTGCCACCACCTCTTCCTCTGCCCTGCTCTCCCTGGCTGGGTGTGGTGGGACTGGTCCTGATGGTGGGGCCTTGTCCAGGCAGCCAGGGGAGTCCCCCCCAGCTCCCTATGCCTTGGGGAGCAGTTAATCCTGTCTACATCCTGACATAATTAAAAAAAAATTAAAAAAAAAAGGAAAACCCCACCTGACCATCAAGACTTTTTGTGGCTTGAAGTGGGCCCGAGTTACTCAAATTTCACAAAGCATTATACACATACACTCCATATGTCAAGTATTTGCTATGCAATTTCTTCTATATGCAGTACTTGCAAGATACATTTATCAGTAAGATAGAGATGAGTAAGGAAATCCTAAACAAACAAACAAAAATTCAAAACAAAGATGATGAGAATTTAAAAAAAAAAACAAACACAGATTATGTAACCATGAAGAAGTTTCAAGATGTTTGGGAAGTCACAAAGTATAGGATTGTTAAAGACACAACACAGCAGACATCAATGGATGACAGGTACAGAACAGTGCTTCAGATGCCCTTTAATTTCTTCAGAATGTAAATAATTTTTTTAGTACCTAGATTTGTGAAACCGTGAACCAACATGATGCTTGAGAAGGCCAGTGAGTACCAGCGTGACACTCCAGCGTTAGGCAGTGCCCGGTGAGGGAGGGCACAGGGGCTGCCTCTACATCTTAACTCGGCGGCCGTCGCCTCCGGCAGCGAGGGCAGTGCCTGGTGAGGGAGGGCACAGGGGCTGCCTCTACATCTTAACTCGGCGTTTAAGCGGGGCTGCGTGCCCGTCCCGAGCGGGCGGCATCGCCCTGAGCTCCCGAGCGAGGCAGCCGGCGGGGACCGGGGCTGGGGGGCTCCGCGGGGACCTCCGCTCTGCCTGGGCGAGCGCGGAGTGCAGCGAGCCCTTAGGAAAGGGGCAGTGTAAGTCGTTCCCCTTGAGTCTTAGTGGTATAAGCGGGGCTTTAGAAGTCGAACCAGAAGCCACGACCAGGTGCTCGCAGCTCTCCCGCTCCGGGCAAAGGGTGCCTGGAGCCAAGAGCTCGCTGCCCTCGGCTGTCTCTTGCCCCAGACAAGGAGGCGATAGGAAGGCAAGGCAGCGGCTGGGGGAGCACCGCGGGCACTGAGCCTCCCACCTGCAGACAGGCAGAGCGGCCGCTCAGGCCGCGCCTCCGAGCCCACACCGGCTCCGGCCGCCGAGACTGGCGCTTGTGGAGCGGCCCCTCCCTTCAAACCCGACCCGGAGCGGAGGGCAGCCCCCGCGCAGGAACCGGCACGGCTTTGGAGGGACAGCCAGAGCGAGAGGGCGAGTGGCTCCCGGGGCACCGCTGTTCATGGAAGGCGCCCAGGGGAGCGGCCTCCCCCCCTCTCTCCCTCCTTGGCCCTGTGGACATGGCACCCACAACAACGCTTCGTGGGCTCCCGGCTGATCCTGGGTCAGGTGCCGGATGTTTCCAGGTTTTGGGAAACTCCTCCTGAGACCCACCAGACCCCGGCGCAGAGCGCGGGCGGGGCAGCAGTGTCAGCTTCGGAGTGGACAGCCAGTGCGGCTCCACGAGGGACATGGCGATGAGCGCGGGGGCCGGGCGGGGAGTGTGAGGCTGTGAGGCGGGTTCTTGCACAGAGAATGCCCCTTAGGCACCTACCGAGGGGGGTTGAGTCAGATGTTTGACTCAGCGAAGGAGCGCGGAGCAGGCGGCGGGGGCCGCACGGGGCGGGCGGGGAGCGGGGCTCCCTCTGTGCCAAAGGGACGGAGCCCGGGACGCCGCTGAGACCCGCGGAGACAGCGCGGCCGGCCTCCCTCCGGCACGGGCGGACCTCGCTTTAACAGAGATTGGGGGAAAAATGCAGCTAAACAAACAAACAAACAAAAAAAATCAATCGCACACACACAAAAAGTTTGTTTTCGGCCTCAGCAGGTGTATTGTCGTGTCGCGCCCACCTCTTCCTCCTCCCTTCTCAGTTCCGAGGGTAGCTCAGTTGTCCCCTGTGTCTGTTCCCGGGTAGGGGCGCCGAGCGAGCAGCCGAGAAGGTGGGGAATCCTCCCCGGGCTCCGGCCAGCGGCGGCTGCGGCAGGGCACGACTCCTACTTTCGTTCTTATTTTCACGTTCCTCACTTGGTTTCTCCCCCTCTCTCAGCAGCGGCGCATCGAAACAGGCCGCGCCATAAACGAGCTGGGTTTTGTCCCGCTCCCTGTCCGGCGGACACCTTCCTGTCGCCATGGCGAGCCCGGCATATCCCGGTGCCTGGAATACAGCGCACAGGCGTCCACACAGCGACCGGCTCCTCACTTTGCTCCAGGTTACCTCCCAATACACCCACAGAAAATGGAAACAAAAAATAAGTTAATTGCTCCTGATCCTATTCAGAAATCTTAAAAATAAATAGCTTCCCCCAGCCAAAGAGCGCATGGCGTTCATTTAGCAGTAACGGGACTAAACATTTGTTGAACTGGGAAAGGAACAAATGAGAAAGTGTCATTCATGGCTCCAGCTGCCGCTGGCCTCTCCCAGCCACTTCCACCAAGGGCCCTTTGGAGTTGATGACACCGCCGGGTCCCCTCACAGGCGGACTGATTAGATTAGACGTGATAGCTGCAGTCCACGTTCGGAGCTGGCACACTTAGCCAAATCGCTCGCATGAATTACGGGAGGGCCGGAAGCGCTGCTTTAGAGGGTCACTTGTAATTTCGTTTATATGTGATTAAAGGCTTTATACATGAAAAGGCTTAATTTGCACCAGTTTGGTTTTCCATTTAGGGGGGTCTGTACGAAATGTACTGTACTGCCAAACTTTGTTTTACCTCCGGGAGCACTTGTATTTTGCGGGTCAGCGTTAAATGTTTTTCTTTTGTGATGGATTCAGTTACAAATAGCAATACTTTATTATTTTGCTTGCGGTGGAACTGCTATAGAAGGACGCCAACACACCCTCACTGTACGGGAAGATTACACATAGTCTCGGAAGGTATATACACACATGCACGCATATATTTATATTACTTTCTTCCACTGGAGAAATTATCAGTGGAGAAAACGCCGAAGTGTTACAACTTAAGAGCTGAGAAAGGCCAAGCGCCTTTGCCCACGCTCCAGAAACCTCGGAGCCCGAGGCTGCTGCGAGGTGTACCCGGGCTCTGCGGCCCCTCCGCAGAGCAGAACGGGGCCGGGTGGGCCCGGGAGCCGCGTCCGCCACCCCAGCAGCCAGGCGGGTGGCGGTAGCAGCAAATTCCCAGCCAAAAGGATGGCCGGGATCTCCCCCAGCGTCGGGTGATAAACTGTGACGGCGGCTGGTCCACTTCCCCCCGCTGTAACTCCCCCGTTCATATTTTTTACTTCCCTTCAAAATGCAGTAAACGACAAGTTCTGAGTAGGAATGAGCAGCGAGCCCTCCAGCACCGGAGGCCAGGGGCTAGCTCCGAACCGAACAAGCCAGGGCCAGCGCGCTCCGCCGCGGCGGGGATGCGGGCGGCGCTGCGCCCGAGGGAGCACGGCGTCCCTCGCCTCGGGGTAAGCCACCTCTCCAAAAATCCGGCGGCTCGGCAGGGAACGTCTTGGACTGATACGTAGAGAGAACAAACCCAAGCTTTAGCAGCGAATCCCGACAGTGTCACTATTAATGACGACTATTGCTACAGTACTAATAGTTATCAGGGTCTGTCCAGCCGCCGTCGAGTCCGCTGATGCCGTGGCCAGAAGGATGTTTTGTGACCTCGCTGGTTCCCTGCACGCTCGGGTTGCCCAGAGGCGTCCCGGACCCAGGAGGGATGTTGCCGTCCCCGGCTCCGGGCGCACAGAGGGAGCAGCTCCATCGGGCAGTAGGGTTACAGTAAAACACTCCCAGGAAAATATTAATACAAGCAACAGAAGGTTAGCGGAGTTATTATCCTTTTCAATTCATTTTTTACTTAAAAACGCAATGGAATTATTCATTTTATTAAGGAGGAAGAAATTAAAGATTAGGCTCTAAAGCGGTATTTTACCTCCCTCTAATCGCCTCTGGGATCGGATTGAAGTAATCCTGACGACGAGATGAATTCGCTGGTGACTCGGATTTTGAATGCATATAGAGATACGTTATGATAATAATGCAAGTGAGCAATATCAAGAACATACCTTAGGAACGAATGAAACACAAAGCTGATTATGGGGAAAAAGAGAACAGCAGCTTTGCCGGGCAGAGCACGAAATCAACTCGAGGCAAAACTTTTGCCCGTAATTTCTGCGGCAGTTTGTAACTGCGGGAGACTCGCGGGCAGGTCCTTCCCCCGCCGGCCCCTTCTACTGGGACTCGGTACGTGCTGCCAGCCTGGAGGGAGCCCGGGCCGAGAGGTCCCTTATTGCCGCTTTCAGAGGCTGTAAAATCTCTCTGCCTTGGGAAAAAACGCTGCACCAGCACGAATACAGCATATTTGCGGCTCAGCAGATATGTAAAGCTTTTAAAAAATGCTGTCCGAGAGCAAGGCAAAGCTCAGGACAGAACTAAAAGGATATGTCGAGGTTGATTTTAGTAACTTTATCTACATTGCGGGCAACACCAACACCTAGCAAGGCTCCATCTCTGAGGCAGAAGAGGATGACGTCCCCCGGCCCCCCCTCCCCGAAAAATTTTGCCTTCAGATCGCTACGAAAAATTAGGCATTTACATAAATTATCGTGAGAGGTACCGAAAGAAAGGGAGGTATATTCGTAAGGAAGTACTGAATAATAAAGCTATCGCTTCTTCAAAAGTGTATCTCAATATTGAGTAGACCAGTATAATTGCAATGGCAGGGCTGTAATTGCTGCTTTGGGATATTTACCCTGCTCAAATGACACTACATATTTTACTTTCAAACACTTGTCAAAAAGTCAATCCAAAAAGACCAGTTAAGAACAAGCTGTTAACATATTAAGTATATGAGATTTGAAGCCTCTAAAACCCACTCAACAATAATTCCCTTCTTCAGCACCAATCAAGAGGAATTTTGCCTAGATTGAATTAAATGTAAATTGCTCTAAAGGAGGAAATTCTCCTCTGGCAGACGCAAAGTACGAGAGAGAGACTCCGACAGGGCGGAGAAGCGGGCAGCCCGAGACAGCTGCCCCTCACGGCTCGGGGGGGGCCCGGCTGCGTCCCCCCGCGAGTCCACTATCCTTCCTTCCTTCCTCCAGGTAAAAGGCGGGCGGCTGCAGCAACCCGATCCGGGACAGCAATTTCGGTGCTAAGGCCCCGACCCGTCTGCCGTGGGGAATTGCGGGGGAGAAGCAATGAGCGGCGCAGCCCCGGTCAGCGGCCCCCAGGCCAGGGGAAAACGGGGAGCAGGGCCGGAGCGGGGCATCGCGGCCGGCGCGATCCCGTCCTTCCTCCGCCTCACGCTTGCCCGCACGGCTGTGTCCATCCCGACACGTCCGAGGCCAGCCCGGCTCCTGCCTGAGCTCCGGGACACGAGGGACGGGGCGGACACGGAGGTGGCAGGGTGTGCAGGGAGTGGAGCCCTGGCCACTGCCCGTCGTTCGACGTGTGCCCTGGGGCCCGCAGGACATTCTCTTCCTCCGTGCCCCGCATGGAGCTCCCGGCCGCGGAGGTAACGTCGTGGAGCAGCCGCTGCCTCGCTCTCCTCGGAAGGAGCCGCGGTGGCTTGAGGCCGCAGCCGCCAGGTCACAGCTCCGGGGACAAGGATGCCTCCCTCCACCCCTCCTTCTGTCTCCCCATCTCTCTGTCCCTTTCTGCCTGGGCCCCCAGCCCTTCCTCCCTGCTCTCACTTCCTCGCAAGACTTCCTCGCCGTCCTGGGCCGGCGGCTGCGGGAGGAGACCCTGCCTTTTGCCTGCTCCTGGGCTGGCACCCGAGCAGTGGGGGTCGGGCCCCCCTGCCTCGCTGGATGCTTCTCTCCATTAGCAAAGCCGAGACCTCCTGCCTCTCTCCCCCTGCCTCTGGAAGGGCAGTGCTGGGCCTCTGATATGGAAGCTGCCGCGGGGGTCCCTCCGCTGAGGGACGCGGCCTGGCCGCTCTCTCCCGGGGGTGCAGGGACCCTTGGTTTCCCCTGGCTATTATTTCGGTGGCGGCCTCTCAGTCACCAGCCGAGTGAACCCCAGGCCGGCGGGAGGAACGGGACCTTGTCCTGAGCCCGAACTGTCGGATGTGGGGTGGGCGGGAGCACAAAGTCCCGTACCCACTGCTGCCCCTCTCATCTCCCCAGCCTTGGCTGACAGGACGAACACCCGCTGGCGCTGCCCGCCCCGAGCAGGGCCGTCAAGCTTCTATTAAATGCACGGGGATTGCATCTTTTTAGGTGCATATGTATCTATAAACAGTGTGTGAGCTGTATACTCCTTCGTGTATCTGTGTCAGCCCTGAGTTTTCGTAGTGAAAATTTGTGTAGTGAGTGTATTCTGTAAGAACACAGAAGCTATATTTAGTGTATATGCAGGCTACATTTGTATCTATATACAAAAATATAGAAATATATAAATAATGTTTTGGATTTAAAAGACACTCCTTCTTCCTACCTCCTTTTTCTTCTCTTCCCCTGCCCCAGGTTTTGAATCATCCTTTTGCTCCCAAGCACTCGTTCCATTTGGCCCGGGAGGTTCCTGCATCCCCACGCGCTGGTCTCGCCGTCTGCTTGTTGCAAGTCCCCCGCTTATTTGTCTACCGTGTTTTCCAAAAGCTCACCGCCACCTGACCTTGTTCTTTAAAGCAGTGAGCAGTCCCAGGAGCAGTCCCAGGAGCAGAGCAGCCATTTCCCTCCCTCCCTCAGACACACACACGTACGCACGCACAAAGAGAGCTCGGGCTGGAAAGTGGCAAGGAAACAAACAGCTTCCCCTCCAGCCGCTTCTTCTGCAGCACCTTGTTTGACAAACACCCTGGCGCTTGCCCTTGAATTGGGTTTCACATCCCTATTTAGCACTTGGACAATGATTTTAGATGATGTCATTTAAAGCCAAACAAGAAAATTGATCTCGGATTTGCTTGGCCTCTAAAGCCTGGTTAAGCAGATTGCAAATAATAATAATAAAAAGAGAGAGGGAGGGAGGCAGAGGGGAGAGAGGCGAGAAGGAGGGAGGGCCACCTCCTTCCCTGGGCGGGGGAGGCGCGGGCGCCAATGAAAAGTAGCCGCTTGCTGGGGGGGAAAAACTTTTCCTGTTGACTGTTGGAAGCGAATTGAGCAATTATCTAGTTTACCTTCTCCTCTTGGAAGTTAACGATTGGCGAGATCTTTGCTGCGTTATTGACACAACACTTTCTATTGATAGAAATAAGTAGCGATTGTCCCGAGTCATTGGTGCGCCAAAGTAAACTGTGATGGGCTGGCATGAGTCCACTGGACTGAGAAGGCTGGTTCCGCCGGCGGAGGCTGTGGTGATGGTGGCGGCGGCAATGCTGGTCTTCCTCCTCGCAGATCAGTAACAAGAAAAGGGGCAGAGAAAGTGAGAGAGAGAGGGGAGAGGAAAAAAAAAAAAGAAAAAAAAAAAAAAGGAAAAAAAAGAGGCGTCTACCAGAGCGGCTCAAACCGGGAGAACAAATGCAGTTCAGCCATGGACAATAGTGGCAACCACACGGCGACCAAAATCCTAGCGACTCCTCCGTCCAGAGAAAGCCTGTCTGCCAGGAGCAACATGATCAGCACGCCCAAGCCACTCGCCTTCTCCATTGAGCGCATCATGGCGCGGACTCCAGAGCCCCGCTCCATCCCCGTCCCGCAGCTCCTCCATGGCTCCGTGGCCAAAGGCGACCCCAAGCATCCGCTGCACCTCAACTCCTCCATCCCCTGCATGATCCCCTTTGTCCCGGTGGCGTACGATACCCTGCCCAAAGCAGCGGTGGCTGGAGCGGAACCCAGGAAAGCTCACTTAGATTCCTCTTCCTCGCCCTCCTTTAGCTGCGGCGATCTCTTGAACTGTGCCCTGAGCTTGAAAGGAGATTTCCCCCGCGATGCCCTGCCCTTGCAGCAGTACAAACTGGTAAGACCCCGAGTGGTCAATCACTCCTCCTTCCACGCCATGGGAGCCCTGTGCTATTTCAACCGAGGCGACAGCCCCTGTCACCCGTCCTCCAGTGTCAACATCCACCCGGTGGCTTCTTATTTCCTCAGCTCTCCCTTGCACCCGCAGCCCAAGGCTTACCTGGCGGAGCGGAACAAGCTGGTGCTACCGACCGTGGACAAGTACCCGGCGGGGGTGGCCTTCAAGGACTTATCGCAGGCTCAGTTGCAGCACTACATGAAAGAAAGTGCTCAGATCCTCTCGGAAAAAATCGCCTATAAGACGTCGGAGTTCAGCCGCGGCTCCCCGAGCAGCAAGCCCAAAGTTTTCACGTGTGAAGTTTGTGGAAAGGCAAGTAGCACCGTAGCCCGCCTCCCTTCCCCAGCCTCCTGTCCCTGTCCGTCTTCCCGCCTGCTGTCTGTCGCTTGCTTGCTTGATTTTTAAACGACGGCTCCCCCTTGGCACTCTCGCCTTCTAATCGCAATTTTATTTTATTGTCTCCTTTCTCTTTCAAGGTATTTAATGCACATTATAACTTAACGCGCCATATGCCGGTGCACACGGGAGCCAGACCCTTTGTTTGCAAAGTTTGCGGGAAGGGCTTCAGACAGGCGAGCACGCTCTGCCGGCACAAGATCATCCACACCCAGGTGAGCCCATCCTCTGTCCCTTGCTCCCTGCCCAAGAGTCTCCGCTCACGTTTTCCGGGGAGCTCGGCGTTTGTCCCGCAGCAGCGGCCGGGGGCGGTCAGTCGGGAGCCGCGGGGAGATTTCGTTTGCCCCAAGCGCGGTAGGTACGGCGGGGTGCCCCGCGCCGGCACCTGCGAGCCCTCAGTTGAACACACAGAACGCCACAAATCTGCTCAGAAAATCCCACTAAACAGAACACAGACCCCTCAAGACAGCCAACAAGCTGTGACTTGGTGTTTGTTTCCCTCCAGGAAAAGCCACACAAGTGCAACCAGTGCGGCAAAGCCTTTAACCGGAGCTCGACCCTGAACACGCACACGCGAATACACGCCGGCTATAAACCATTTGTCTGTGAATTTTGTGGCAAAGGATTTCACCAGAAAGGTACCAGTCTCCAGCACCCTCTCTCTTCCCCGGCTTCCCCCTCCCCAAGCCAGGTCAAGTGTCGGGACAATTTGCGACAGGGAGGGTGGTGGGGAGCTAATTTTGCGTTCAATTTTTATTATTAGATATTTAGGCTAATTTTAAGTTTGGCTAGCTCCAACACATGTCCTGCCCCACGAAGCGGGACAGAGGTTTTCTGTCCGGGGGAACGGCGTCTGTTTTCCCTCCACCGCAACATGCAGCTTCCAGCGCGGTTCGGCAAACGAATTCTCCTCTTATTTCCCCCTCCAAATATAAGGATTTAGCTACTTTTTCTTCCCGGGCTGGTGTGAAGTCTAAACCATGGAGTTTTATTTCCGCAATTGTCGTGATTTTGGTTTATTCGATCCTTTCTTTGTCATTTGTAAAGTGTAACAGCCGCGGGGAGAACGGAGAGAAGGCGGGAGGTTTGCGGTCGTTTCATCCTGAAGCCGAACTCTGGTGATGGGACAGAGTTTGGGTGGATTTTTTATATTTTTCTCGTCTTTTCATTGTCCGTCTTTTAAATCCAGGTCCATTTGCCTTTCTTTTCTCATTCCCAGGCAATTACAAAAACCACAAGCTGACTCACAGCGGGGAGAAGCAGTTCAAGTGCAATATCTGCAACAAGGCTTTTCACCAGGTGTACAATCTGACCTTCCACATGCACACCCACAACGACAAGAAGCCCTTCACCTGCCCCACCTGCGGCAAAGGCTTCTGCAGGAACTTTGACCTTAAGAAGCACGTCCGTAAGCTGCATGACAGCGCCCTGGGACTGCCCCGGGCCCCCGCCGAGCTGGGGGGGCCGGACCCGCCGCCCCCGCCCGGGGCGCTGCTGCAGGGCCCGCCGCCGCTGCAGCCGTGAGGGGCGGCCGCCGGCGCCGCCGGGGCGAGCCCCACCGCCCCTTTGCATGCACCTGTTAAGCGGTTTTGTGTATTATGCTCTATATCGCCACTAACGTTAATGGACTGATCGTTTCCTATTTTTTTTTTTTTACTTTTCCCTTTGTTCTTTACAGACTACTTTTTATTTGTTATCGTTGCATCTCAGGTGGAGAGATGGTTAAAAAAAAAAACAAACACACAAAAAAACCAAAACACAAAACGAAAAGCGCCAAGCCAATTTCTGCTGTATTTATTTGGGAAACTGTATTACTCGAGCCGGGAATGCTGCACCACTTTAATTATTTCGATGTATATATATTCCCCCTGTGTCGATCCTGCCCTGCCTCCGCTGTCTGCTGGTTATCCTACCCTTCTTGGTTCCCTCCTCTCCCTCTCCCCCTGAATATCGTATCTATATGGACACAACTGTTCTCTATGTACGGATTTGAATTTTGCATTGATTCTTGCACGTGGAGAAAAAAAAAAAAAGAATTCTTTGACCTGATGGAAATAAACCTTTGCCAAGGAGTGACTGCGGCGGCGGGGGCTGCGGCGCGGACGGGAGGGCGGGGAGCGCGGCGTTGGCGCTGCCGCACTGCAAAGCTCTCCTCGCCCTTGCCAAAACACTGAAGCAACCGCTAAAGACTTTAATTAAGAGGGGTAATTAGTTCGAATTGATCAAAGCAGGGTTGTTATGTTATTAGCTGCTCAGCAGACTCTGCCAAGCCGAGCCTTGAAAGCGAAGCCCGCCCGTCGGTGGGCGCCTGAGGAGCGGCAGGCGGGGTTTCTGGGGTTGTACCGCTCCCGGGGTAACCGAACCAGGCACGGAGGATGGGCTCTACCCCCGAGCAGGACAGGCAGGCTCGCTCATCTCCCTCTGCCCTCTCAGGGCTGTGCCCACAGCCCCCCTCCAGGCTCGGGGGTTCTTTTCGGACAGGGGGCCGGGCCGTGCTTTATCCCGGGTTAGGGCCCGAGGACGGCCCAAGTCTTGAAAGCGAAGCCCGCTCGTCGGTGGGCGCCTGAGGAGCGGCGGGAGGGGTTTCTGGGGTTGTACCGCTCCCGGGGTAACCGAACCAGGCACGGAGGATGGGCTCTACCCCCGAGCAGGACAGGCAGGCTCGCTCATCTCCCTCTGCCCTCTCAGGGCTGTGCCCACAGCCCCCCTCCAGGCTCGGGGGTTCTTTTCGGACAGGGGGCCGGGCCGTGCTTTATCCCGGGTTAGGGCCCGAGGACGGCCCGGCGGGGCGGTCCGGGGAGATGCGGAGGGCGTCCCACGGCCGCTGGGGATGTGCTCCACTCGGGGGACCTGTCAGGAGCGCCCGCGGGTCTGCCCCAGAGTGACCCTGCAAGAACGGGTGGTGTGACATCCCAGGCCTCGCCCAGATCTTGTACACCTGGAGCTCTCCCAGGGTTCTGGCTTTTGGCGAGGGGCGAGGCGTCGTGGTGACAATCGTAGCTAACGCGTTACACCCAAGAGAGGGATATCGCCTTGCGGGCGGCGCTCCCGCCGCCCCTCCTGGGACGCCCCCTCGGGGGTGCCGCAACCAGCAGGTGTGGTCCTCAAGCTGGGGCCGGCAGAGTGAGCCTGTGGAGGCGGCGGAGAGGGGAATCGCGTCTCTCTCCTTTCACACGTGTCGGATTACCGCGGTAATCTCCTGAGCAGGCGGCTCTGCGTGTAAAAAGCAAAGCAACAGGTCAGATCCACAGCGCGGGCAGAGCCTGCGGCACCCCGGCAGGGCTCAGCCCCTCGGGGCGCCGCTTTTCCCCCGCTCCAGGGGGGAGGCGGCCGAGGATTTGGATGGAGGGTCCTCGGTGCAGCCGCTAACAAGCGCTGGCTGCAGCGGCGTGGGCCTCCCTCTGTGCGTCTCCCCTTCGGGGGCCTTGGGGAAATCGGGAGCCGCTCCCCAGATTTCCCAGGGGACTGCAGCAGCAGGGGAAGGAAGAAGCGGGGTTGAGACAGCCTTCAAGTGACCCCGGGTAAACTAGAAGTTGGGATGAAGCAGGGCGGGGAGGAGAGGCAGAACCGTGGTGGTAGAGCAAGTGTCCTTTGAGGATCTGGCCCTATGCACAGTTCTCTCCAGCTCTGCTCGGATCCTGGGACTGGAAGAGTGTAATTCTGGCTTCCACACAGACAGATTTCTCCCACATCAGGTGGCTGCAGTGTGTTGCTAGCTAAAAGGAAAACTTTTGTGACATGTAATGAAAGGCAAGGAGTCCAAAAGGTCCCACTAATTTGATGCAAGTATGCCATTCCTCTGAGGCTCTGCTTGAAGGACATATTTCAAAGCAGAAGCCCAGCTTGCTTTCTTATTTAAGCGGAAGTCCAACTTGCTTTTCTTATTGCTGAGCAAGTGTGATAGTCCAAGGTACTGAAGCTATACTTGGCCTTGCTAAATATTGTAATTTTACAAATATTTTAACCAGTTCAGAACTATTCAAGCACCGTAGAGATATTGGATCAGTCCTAAAAGTATTTTATATCATGACAAATGGATATGAATGTAAATGTCTAGAGAAACGAAAGGAGAATATAATCTAATCTGGAGAATATAAACTGTCCACTCAGCTTCAAATCAAGCACATACATGAGGACTGAAGATACTACTGGAGATTATGTGCACTGGTTATCCAGATGCGTGTGCTCAATTTTGTTTCTTCAGATTATTTTCCAAATGCCAGGAGAAATGACGCCTCAGTCCTCCCCATGTAGAAGCTGTAATTTCTCCCTTTTTTAATAGGTAGAGGAATGAGAATTTCTAGTGTTGCTTGACCACAAACCATTTTCATGTTTATAAAAAATAATTGTTTTTTTTTTTTTTTTTGCCTTTGACCATTTTTATGTTTATAAAAAATAATTTTTTTTTTCTTTTGCCTTTTCTCCTGTAAAAGATCTGCAGTCGCTGCATAATCTGGATTCTTCTACGTATTCCTGGTGAAGAACAATATTTTGCTAAGGAGCACACATGCAGGGGTGACCATATTTTGATATGGAGTGGAAATGAGGCACTCTAACTTTATTCCAAGGTGAAGCAGAGAAAGCCAGTGATGAGCATAGATAAGCATTTCTCTGCCTAGATATCTCAGAGTAAACACTGCAGACGTGGGACTTCACAGGGAGACAAGGATAGCTCATTTGTTATTTCACTATATAAAACCATGTTTGTGTCAAAGACTGGTATTAATTCATGTCTTGGAAGGCCTGCACAGAATTACCTCTCATTTCCTCTCTTTCAAGATTAATCTCAGGTCAGGTGAATTTCTGGTTAATGGTCAGAGGCAATTCAAAGCTGGTGAAATCATCATGAGAGGCAAAAACTATAATTTTATGTATATCCAAAGTGTAAAACTATTAACAGCTCTCCTTACTACAGATAAGATTTTAATTTTTTAAAAAAATGTGAATAATTTTGATATGAGAAATGGAGCCATCTGTACCTAAAGGAAAGTTTATATGTTCCCACTTCTGTGTGCCAATCAGCATCATTGCCATATGATCTGTATTCGTTGTGACAATGGTCAGCCTCATTCTACCAGTCCCTCATGGATGCTGAGAGAAGAGCCTTGGTGTGTCTGGATCTGCTAAAACCCAGAGCTGGGCATTAGCATCCTGACACCAGTGTAGCCCACCTCCCACCGATGACAACAGCTTCACTGCAGTGCTGCATGAAGGGCAGGCAAGCCTGGTGCCTGTGGGACCCTGGAGCAGAAAGCCCTTGTGGAGGAGGAGCTGTCACCCTCTACCTTCATCCCCACCCAGGATTTCTCAGATGGGACTGAATTCCTTCTGTGCTTGTCAGATACTACAGATTTGTTAACACCTGCCAATACTGAAAGTGTTATGTATCTGAAAGAGCAACCAGAATTACCAAAGCTGTTGTATATTGCTGTAGAAATAAAATACAGCACAGCAGGATCTTCTCACAGCATCAAAGTTCCTTCTGAAGCTGAAATGGTATTGACTTTGTTTTGCTAGTGCTTTATTCATGATCAGACATTTCTCAATAGTAGAAAAAAATTTCTCCTCCCAAAGAAAGGAAAAAAGGAAAAAGATATTAGTAAAAATGTTTGTGTGTTTTTCTTGTTGGGGGTGGGGGTTAGAGGGGGTGTGACTGTGTGTTTTTGTTTTTCTAAAAAAATCCATGCATGCCAAAATATAAACTAAATCCACAGCTTTTTCATAGCTTCCAAAAGAATTCTCTGCTTCATGGGAAATTATATAGAAATCCAGCACATCTCAAAGTACCCAAAACGAATACTAGACAGTATTTAGTCAAGGAAGTATTTTAAAAATAATTTTTATGATTTTTAATCACTTTTTGCTCCCAGTCTTTACAAATACAGTGGTGAAAATGGAGAGATTAAACAAAATCCGACAAATTCATCCAGAACCATCTCAAATGAAGGCATGTTAATCACAGCTTAGTACCAGAACAGTTTATTTGGACAGTGCTTGACAACTAGCAATTAGAAAATGCTCCCAGCTGTGTACCTCCTCTGCCATACTTAGAATGGGACAGTCACCATTTTGTTCTTTGGAACGTGGTACTGGAAAAAGGGATCTAGTTTGCTCCTGGGGTTTTGACATGTTAGTACCAGATAGTTATAACTCTTTAATTATGTAAATCTTTCCACCCACGCTCTGTTTAGCTGCCAGTTTGCTCAGGTACCGTCCTTAGGGAGGGAGAATTGTGTTGTACCTTGCTGGGAACTGTAGCAGTAACTATTTAATGGTAACTCCCATATCTTCCATGAAAATAGTGGTAGCTCCAGCTCCACTCCATGCTGGGTCCTCCTTCTCTTCCTGGCCCAAGGGTACAGGCTGCACGACTTTTGGATGACCACTAAGGGGCTGCATAGCACACTGAGACCCTCTGTACTCACCCTTAGTCTTGTGAGTTTGCAGAAAGTCCTTTTGCTTCAGTAATCTGCAACTGTTGAAACAATACAAAAGTTGTCTTTTTAAAACTTCTCGTTGTATTA